CGAACATCGTGGAGTTAGACACCTTCTCGAGGGTCTACTCTATGGGTCCCAGGGCGTCGCTTCCGCTGCTTATAGGTTTTGACTTCGGCCAGGCTTCCCGAGCTTGTGTCAGAGATGGCTGATGCTGGTGCTCGACGGTCTCGCCCTCCCTCCTCCTCTTCGGTGGTTCCACCAGGTTACCTACGAAAACGTCACGTGTTGGGGGAACATTGGTGGGGTTACCTGCTTCATGTACCACATCACGACTGGTATCGTCCAGGGCTGCCCGGCTTCTGGGCTTCTCTTCAGTCTCGCTCTTGATCCCTTTCTTCAAGACTATCGCTCCGTGGTGGACGGCGCGGGCCGTGGCCATACGAGAGCTTGTGCCGACGACATCGGCATGGCGCTGAAGTGCATCTCCGCTTTGAGTGAGATCTCGTCGTTTTTTTTTTGCGGAAGGCTCAGAGACTGGCGCACCTAAAGCTCAAGATCCCGAAGTGCCACATTGTCCCGCTTATAGATTCGGCATCTCCTGAAGTCATTCACCAGTATCGCCTCTGGCTTAGCAATCACCTTCGGGAATGGACCTCCATGGGAATCTCGGGCAAACTCAAGTACCTTGGGATGTTTCTAGGACCTGATGTCGAGTGGGACTCGTGGCACGCCCCGCTCAGTAAGTACCAGTCTCGTTGCGCCATGACTGGTGGCTCTGCGACAGAGGTTACCGCTTTACTTTATCGCCGTCGTGCTGTCTCGGTCTTATCTTACGTCGCCCAGTTCATGATCATCCCTCCTCATCTCCGAAAGTCAGAGTACCAGCAGCTGGCCCGTCTATTTAAGACGCCATTTCGTTGCTGGGCGAACGCCGACTGGCACCGCCTGAAGGACTGGGGTGGACCCCAAACGACCTCTATCCTCGCCCTTTGCCTCGCATCTCTGATGCGCTCATGCAAATGCACCCCCCCGTGCTGGCGTGACTGCATGGGGATTTTGGAAGAGACCGCGTGGGCCGAGCTCCCGCTCGTCACCGTCGTTTCTGGTTACCCTGATCTTGAAGGAGGGCGCCGTTGGTGCCCGAAGTTTTGGAGGTCCCGCCCCATCGCTCAAAATCTGCAACAGGCTGATCTAGGCTTTCAGGACTCCCCGATTTGCAGGATCCCTGGTAGGACGGCTCTTCACGCGCTGCGAGACCATGTCGCTGCTCACCCTCTCCTTCCTCTTAAAGCACTTCATCCCCAACGTGTACTCTACCTGTCCCTCCTGCATCCCCTCTTCCCCGATAACTTGTTCACGATGTTCAAGGCTCGTCTGCGCAGAGGTTGCCCAGAGTCGGTCCAAGAGATTGAGACGATTGACTGGGATCGCTGCCGTGCCGAGATTATCTCCCTCCCTCCTTCCTGGCGCGCTGCCGTGCTGAAAACTCTTGCCGCTGCCTGGGTTGCTGATCGCCGATTTCAGAAGTCTACACCATGCATGCTTGGATGCCCAGATTGTGCCGGCAGATTTTGGCACTACTGGAAGTGCCCGCGTTTCCTGAGGCCCCCCGCAGAAGTTGTTGGACACCCTCTTGACTTTCGTCCCCTCGCTCGCCTCGGCGTCCTTTCCCCCTCTCGTGCCTCTTTTGCCATCCCTGTATTCGCCTACTTCCTGTTCAATGCCTTGCGCCCTCTCGCGTCAGTGTCAGCGCCTGTGACCCCGCCAGACACGCAATCCAGCGTGCTCAGGGCGGTGCGGTTTCAGGTTGCCCGCCCAACGTGCGGTGGCCTGTGCACGTGATGTGGATGAACCCCAGGCGCCCCCCTGCTACGCCCGAGGAGGAGGAAGAGGAGAGGGACAAAGTGGGGAGAAGGGGGATGAGGGAGAGGAGGATTGAAAAATGCGGTGGCGGATGAGCAAGAGGGATGAGTTGGCGGAGGACGAGAAGGATGAGGAAAGCGACGGAGCAGCAGTAGCAGCAGCGGCAACAGCAGCAGACGGAGCAGAAGTGGCAGGAGCAGGAGGAGCTGGAGGACGTGGGGAAGGCGGAGGATGGGAAAGGAGGGTGGCGATATCTACAAGGAATGAGTCGGATTCAGAGATATGGCCCACGTTGAGGCGAGAGCGCCATTCCGAACGACGGGAGCACAGCGCCGATCCTGCATTGAGGCCAGCGCTTCAGCGGGAACATCATTTGGAAAAACACATGCAGAACATCACGCAATACGCTCCCTTGAGTTGAAGTCATTTTCGTCAGACATTTAGCCCCGTTCGCACACGGTCCGGGGCAAGAGGATAGTCGGATCCAGATTCTCTGATTGCCGTTGGAGGAGGAGGTGTAGGAGCAGTATCAGGAGGAGGAGCAACAAGAAAAGGAGGAGGAAGAGGTTTGATGGGGTGAAGGGTGTATTTGCACTGCGGGCGCGTATTAGTGTGAGTGCGTGTGCGTGTGAGTGCGCGTGCGCGTGCGAATGTGTGTGTGTGTGTGTGCGTGTGCGTGCATGTTCGTGTGTTTTTGTGCGTGTGTGTGTTAGTGCGCGCATGTGGTCCAGCCAGCAGTCTGGCACAATTTGCGCTAATCGCGAAGGACGACCGGCTCCGTCGATTCGTCGTCCGACTCAATCCGTTGACTTTTTGGTTCCCAGTGAAAATGCAGGACCCCAGGACAAAGCAGTCTTGCTGTGACGCTCGTCGCATTCCAGTCAGGGCGGCCAGCAGCCGAGTTGGACTGTAGTCTATTGGCCCCGTTCGGTCACCTACAACGCTGGGATCAACGCGTGCGAGAAAAGCGGGCACTGGCTGCAGGCAATGCTCTTGTTGAGCGAGGCTCGCAAGGTCAAACTCGCGCCAGACATTGTGACTTACAATGCTGGGATCAGTGCGTGCGAAAAAGGTCAGAGGAGGAAAAGGTACCCATACCTCTACCCTCCCCTCGTTTTCCTCTGTTTGGGCCTCCTCGGAGGCCTTCGACGCCACCGTTGGATTCGCCTCGAAATCCTGGTCAGAACGCAACCCGGGAGAGGTCCGGGGAGTAGCGGTATCGGTATTTTTTGGTATCCCCAAAAGGAGGTCAGTGGCAGCAAGCGCTGTTTCTCCTCAGGGAAGCACAGGAAGTGAGTTTGAAGCCAGACGCCATTGCTCCTAGAATGCAGCGTTCACCGTTCGCCAACCTATCGAACAGTGGCAGCGGACTGGCCACTGCTGCATGGCGGCCACCGGCGCGGCCACGGAGCCCTGGCGCGCTTTCGAGATGGCTTGCGGCCGACGACGGTCCAAGAGGGCTTCCGAGACTGGCCCCGAGCGCTCGAAGACGCCCAAGGCAGCCGCCCGACGGCCCAAGAGGCCCCCCAAATGCTCCGAGTGGGCTCCAGGAAGAGCACCAGGAGAGCCCGAACAAGGAAAAATCGTCCCAATCCCGATGGAAAACGTACATTTCGGGAGTTCCCGCGTTTTTCGTTTTCAAAGCGTCCAAGACGGCCCCAGGCCCTCAAGATCGAGGCTGCCAGGAGGGCCCCAACACGGTTGAAGACTGCGCCAGGACGGCTCTTCAGGCGCCCATGACGGCCCCAAGAGGCGGCCTGGACAGGCTGGGAGCGCTCCCCAGGGGCCCTTGCAAGACGGGGCCTGCGGGCCCCAAGAGGGCCCCGACAAGGCCCCGTGACGCATGTACTCGAGTGCCCCTCTCGCAAGCCCAAGAAGCATATCAAGTACATGATGTCTGGGGCCCTCTTGGGGCCCGGGGCCCCCTGGGGGCGCTCTTGCGGCCCACTGGACTTTGGGCCCCCCAAGACAGGGCCGGATGCGTCCTGCCACAGAAAGGCCTCTCGTGGCAGAGTGGCGGGCCCGCGCCTGGCGGCGTCCTGAGGCCCTCTTGAACCTCCTCGTGCCCTACGGCAAGACGGCCCCAAGACGGTCCCCACACTGCCCCAGAGGCGCCCAAGACGGCCCCAAACGGCCGCGCGGTCGCGCGGCCCGCGGCCCTGGCGAGGACCCTCCATCTGGCATGTGGCTGTCGCCTACAGAATCACCCATGGTTCGGCAACCCCCGCCGCCAGTCGCAGCAATCACGAGTACACACTAGTTAGCTATAATGCCGGAATCAGCGCTTGTGAGAAAGGAGGTCAGTGGCAGCAAGCCTTGTCGTTGCTAGACAAGGTGCGCGAGGCCAAATTTGATAGTGGCCCTATTCGAGACACTTCGCGTTTGCCGCCCGATCATTGCAGGAACATCTTCCCACAAGTGGGACGGACCCGCTTGCAGGTTTTAGCGTGCATGTGCACATGCGCGTGCGTGTGCAGTGTGTGTGTGTGTGTGAGAGTATGTTAGAGTGTGTGTGTGTGTGTATGTGTGTTATGTGTGTGCGTGTGTGTGCGCGTGTTTGTGTGGGTGTGTATGTATGTGTGTGTGTGTTGTCTTTCTTTTTTTCGCTCCATGCGTTCTCCATCCCGGCGCCGAGTAGGCTCGGCTGTGATGGGTGGTTGATCGATGGCCGTCATCATTACCAGCGGAGCAGTGACATGGATGTTGCCTCCCTGGGCCCTTTCCAAAATATTCCAAGGCTGTCCGACGACGGCCCACGCGGCGCCAACAGGGGCGGAAGTGGGCCCCGAGAAAAGCTCCAAAGAGGGGCCCCGAGAGAGGCTCCTGACGCAGTCAAGCTCTTTGGTCCTACCAGCTCAGGCAGGGAACTTTTGATGGCGTCTTATGTGTGCAGAGGGGTCGGGGGGGGTGGCGGGCCTGACCCAGTCGAATCCACAAATCAGTGACAAGAGGCGCCTAGGCGTTCCCGGGCGCGCTAAAACTCGTGAGAACTTTTTGGGTTTGCTGCACGTTGGAAGCTCCTAGTTTGTAATCGAAGTTCGGATCCATACGCGCATTTGCAAGTCCTGCGAGTAGACATCGGAGGCCTGGAATGGGGGAGGGGACCCGCATCGGCCAAAATGGGGCCAGGTGCGTCGAGAGCGTATTTGGAATATTTTGATTTCGAGGTCGTCGTGGGCGCTTTCCGAAAGCCTGCTCGGGGCCAAGAAGAGCAGGTTGTGCAGCCAGGCGGCGGAATGGCGGAGGTTTCTTGGAGGTGGGGCAGTGGAGGACAAAGTTGTGCAAGGAGCTCTCACACGTTAGCCTCACACTCCCTTCAGCCCGGTGGGCGAGCGAATGTAAGTGGTTGCGCCATCCCGCCAACCACCATGAGTTGACCTATGTGCGGCTTACGAGTTCGTATGCCTTGTTGCTTTGTTAGCCGCTTCCCATCGTGCTGCTTACGTGTACGTGTTGCCGGTTCGTCCTCCTCTTCCTCCCTGTCTGTTGCGGGGCCCCTCTTGAAGCCTTTCCAAGGCTCCCCAGGTGTTTCGGGGCCGCTGGGGGCTTCGTGGGGGTCTCTCGGAACATGTTGGGGGTCTTGTAGGCATTTTTTGGGGGGAGCGCTCATGGGGTCCATGCGAGTCCCCCCCTCTGGGGCCTCTCTTGGGCCTCTTGTGCTTTTTGGGGACCTGTTTTGGGGGTCTTATTGGAGGGCCCTCCTGCGGCGTCTCTGGTGCCTCTCGGGACCCTTTTGATTTTCGAAAGCCCGAAGGGCAAGACCGCGAACATGGTTCAAAACATGTGGGAAACCAATCATTTTGCATACTGGGTCTCTCTACTCGGGGCCTCTTTGGGCCGCCTTGGGCACATCCAAGGCCGTCTTGAGGCCATCTTCGGCGATCTTGGGGTCCTTCCGGCATGCTGGAGCCTTTTCTGGAGCCACACTTGAACACATTTTGGCCATCTTGGCGGCCACGGAGGCTGCGAGGGTCTTTTAGGTGCATTCACGAAGAGGGATCGGGGCAGCCAAATGTCTCACACGAGGCCGTTTCACCCCCAGGCAAGCGGGGTTGGCATATTGCACACAACGCTGCTATTAGCGCATGCGCGCAAGGCGAACAGTGGCAGAAGGCGGTAGCGTTGTTGAGCGAGATGAGGGGATTGAGTACGGCAGCGGACGTAATCAGCTACAGCGCTGGGATCAGCGCGTGCGGGAAAGGTGAGCAGTGGCATCGGGCGTTGGCGCTGCTGCGCGAGATGTGGGTGGCGAAGGTGGAGCCCAATCCAATCTCTTTTACAATATTGGCTGCAGCGCGTACGAGAGTGGCGAGAAACACCTTTGGCCTCGAGGAGGGGCCTAATCGGCGGGCCACCCACAGACAAGCCCGTCGGGACCCGAGGGTCTCAAGAGATTCGTGGAAGGCGCCGAAGACGTTTCAGGGGCTCAGCGATGGGGCCCCAGATACCACGACAGGCTTCCAAGATGGCTCCTGGGCGCCCCAGGGGCACTCAGATGGCCTCCAGAGAGGTCCACAAGGCCTCCAGATGAGATGATACGCAGAGACTCTTCACGAAGCAAAGCACTGCAGAACTTCTGTCGGCTTTCTGCATTCTTGTCCTCCGCAGTTTTCCTCACGAGAACTTTTCGAGATGGGGCCCACAGGCTTCCGACGGCCTCGAAGAGGCCTCTTGGAGGCTCCGACTGGGCCCCAGACGCTCACAAACAATTGCCCAGGACCGCCCTTCCTTCTAACCAAAGCGGGCCCCGAGGCGGCTCCACGATGGCTGATGGCCCAAAGCAGCTCCAATCTGGTCCCGAGAGCTCCCCGGACTGTCCCACGCCCCCACAGTTCAAACGCAGCCCAAGGATGTGGATCTGAGGTGAAGTCAGCAGGACCTGCGAGGGCACCGAGAGAGCCCAGGAAGGCCTCTCGCAGGCCCCAGGCAGGACTTGAGCTCGCGTCGAGGCCGGCCCAGGATCGGGATCTGCTCAGAATCCCCACAGTCCCTGCAGAGTCGCGAGCCACACGAGACCGTCACGAGCAGGGCAGAGCCCCCGAGTCTATGAGACCGCCTGCTGCCACCAGATATGATACGTAAGCATGCTCGGCTGGTAGCCCGTGTGGTTTTCATCCACAGGTCTGCCATGGCCTCTGCCGGACGCACCGCACCGCCTGCCAGAAGGGCATTCGCGCAAGTGGGTCAACATCGGCCCGGCCCGCCCAGACGCGCCCTTGGGCGCTCCCTGCACGCCCTGTGTGGGCCCCGTGCGGCCCAAGCGAGCCCCCCCGGCCCATGACCGCCACGCGGGCTTCCGAGACGGCCCCAGAGGCCTCACGATGGCGCCGAGGTGACCCAAGTAGCCTCCACAAAATTGTGGAGAACAAGGGTTGCTCATGCGATGCCGATGCTATCCACCTCTCGACTCCTCGGATGGCTCCAAGAAGTGCTCGAGAAGCTCTGCCTCACGTTCTCCAGCAGCCCGGCTCGTGATGCGGCCAACATAGGCGCACGAGTTGACGGGCCAGGCGGCCTCGCCCGACGCAGAACAGCGATGCGGGTGGGTGTTGCAGATGTTGCTCCAGGGGGGAGATCCCTCCAAGAGGGCCCTAGATGCCCCACGAAAAAGCAAGATGGGCCCAGCCGGCCTTCAAGATGGTTCGATGGCGGCCTCAAGGCGGCTCAAGACGGGCCAAAGAAAAGGCCCCCTCCCCCCGACCGCCCCTGGACTCCACTGACGCAGCACCCAGATGCCCCAAGGAACGCCCAGATGGCCCCGGGAGGTTCCCGGGGGACCCAACGTGAACCCAGGGAGCTCCAAGAAGGTTGTAAGAAGGCCCCAGGTTGGCTTGAAGAGGGCCACGTGAATGACCTGGGGCGAACAAAGTGCTCGGCCGTAAGTACACGTACCTCGGCCTTTCGGCGATTCGCGTGGTGCTCCTCAGGCCGCCCCCCACCAAAGGAACCCGAGGAGCCCCAAAGAAGGTTCCAAGCAGGCCCCTTGTGGGCCTCCAAAGGGCCCCACGAGCGGCTTGCGAGGGACCAGATGTCTGGAGTGGGCAATCGTCATCGGTTCGCACTTTCTGGACATCGAGAGCTTCGTGAAGTTCGACCTCGTTCCCCGACGGGGCGTGCGGGCCCCGAGCCGCACGAGCACGTGCTCGGCCAGCTGCGGGTGGGCGCGGCGGCCGAGCTCAGCCAGGAGGCAATCTTTGCACAGGACCATCTCTCGAACGGCAAATCAGTAGCGCTACCGTCTCTGGCGGGCTCCAGCTGATACCCCAAAGTGGTGGCAGAACGGAACTCTAGGTGCAGAGCATTATTTGATTAGGACCATGCTTTATGCTGTTCAAGTTAACAAGGAACTGGGCGACCAGTCCACGATTTGCAGACCGTCATTTTGGTATCCTCGTAGCAATGCTGCAGAGAGAAACCAAGCCGTGAGGCGATCCGAGCCTTTGTGAGCGAGGTTTCGTGGCCGACGGGAGGATTCGAATCAGATCAGGTCACTTATTGTGGACGTAGTCCATTGGTGAGTCCTAGTCAGCTACAGCGCTGGAATTACCGCATGCGGGAAAGGCGGGCAGTGGCAGCGGGCTTTAGCACTGCTCAGCGAGATGTGGGAGTCGAAGGTGGAGCTTGATTACATCGTATGTTTTGACGTCAGGCACAGCGCGTGTGAAACAGGCGAGCTGTAGCAGTGGATACCGTTCCGAAAGACAGAGCAATATCAACCAACATGTGCACACGAACGTCCGAGACAATTCTAAAAGAGCCCCATCTTTTCTCAGATGGCCCACACACATCCGCGAAAACGTACCGAACATCTCGATGAGGCCCCAAATATAAACCCGGCTATTCCCAACGAGGCCCCGAGGAGACGTCCAAGAACCAAGTCCGTCTAAAAAGTACAGGATCTAGCTAGTTTGCAGGCCCGAAGTACCTTGACGCCACCACCAGCCTGCCAACAAGCATCCGAAAGAGTTCGGCGACGCTCGTGCAGGCCGCCGCACGGCTACTGGGCAGGTTTTGCGCGGATGTGCACTTTGCCGGCATCCAAAGGACAAGCATGTTGGAGGGGATCGTCATGCCGTGTCGGTGCAGCCCAGACTCTGGAATGGGTTACGTGTTTCAGAAGGTTGAGCCGGAAGTCGTTCAAGGACACTCGCAAGGCGGCGTGAATTACTTGAATCTGCACGTGAAGCATGTAGGGTGGGCATGGCTTGCAGTCGTGGGGCTGTTGGGGTAGTGGGTAGGGCGACCACAAGGACGCAATGACTCCCGCGGTTTGTGACCATCAGGTGGAATTAGCGGGAGGATTTCAGCAATGTTTCGCCAGAGTCTTTCTGTGTTTTCGGTTACCGCAGCGGATTGAGTGTAACGTTGCAAGTGCATTTGATTATCTTCAACGAGATTCCAGCGACGCCCCCACGAGGCCAGTGTGAGGCCAGGTCTGGTCCGAGGCGGCCAAACAGGTGGCGTAGCGTGATCGCTTCTCTTCCTTCTCCCGGGTCTTTCGCAGTTGCTTCCGTATGTTTCACCGTATCGATCCGTCAGCTATTGCGCACCGCTAGTGCGAAACCAACAAGTTGTGGGTGAACAACCTTGCTGCTTGAGAAAGAGGATGGATTGATCCGATCTCTTCTGCTATTGCTTTGAGATTGCCATGGCACCTTGGTTCGGACGATCCCAAGATTACCCCCTGACGGCCTCAAGATACCCCCACCAAAATACCCCAAGGTTGGCCCAGGGCGGCCTCAAGATGACTTTAGTGTGTCCAAGAAGCCTCAAGTAGGTTCCCGAGCCTCCGAGCCGAGTCCGATTTGTTTTCAGCCCTTCATGGCCCAGTCTTTGCTCAAAGACGGCCCCAAGACTCCGACGAATCCCCAACAGAGCTTCAAGGCCAAGAAACAGTGTCAAAACGTCCGGGCCCCTCGCCCTTCCAGCCCGATGGGGGGCCGATGCGGCCTAGGTGGAGCCAACAAGGCCCCAAGATTATTTGCCCCATATTTTTGCAGTGGGCTTCATTTACAGCCCACTCTGGTCAGCTACTGTGCTGGAATTAGCTCGTGCGAAAAGGGCAGGCAGTGGCAGCGGGCGCTGGCGCTGTTGCGCGAAATGGTTCGATCGAATCTGACTCCAGACGAGGCTGGTTGGACTGCTGGAGTCAGTGCTTGCAAGAACGCAGGGCAGTGGCAATTGGCATTGTCGCTGGTGAGGGAGATGTGCGAAACGAGCTTTATGCCGACAGTCGAGATATACACTGCCGGGGTCACTGCGTGTGGATGGGCGGGTAAGTGGCGATATGCGTTTTTGTTGTCAAGTGATCTGTGCGAAGCGCAGGTAGAGCTTGACACATCTTGCTACAATAGCCTAATATCTGCGTGCGTGCATGGCCTGCAGTGGCAGAGGGCATTATCTTTGTTGAGGGATTTGGGCGACGGGAATCTGGATTCAGATTGTGTCAGCTACATTGCTGGAATGAAGGCATGCCAAGTATGTGGGCAGTGGCAGTGGGCAATGTTCTTGCTAAGGGGGGTATCGGAAGCCAGGTTGGAGCAGAGCACCCTCAGCTATAATGTCGGGATCGGCGCGTGCGCGAAGGGCGGGCAGTGGCAAGTGGCGCTTTCACTGCTCGGCGAAATGCGTGGCGCGAGGATTGCGACAGACAGCGTGACCCGCAGCTCAGTTATCAGCGCTTGCTGTCCAGGCGAGCAGCTCCAGCACGCTCTGTCACTACTGATCGACGCGACTTAGGAGGAGGAGGAGGAGGAGGAGGAGGAGGAGGAGGAGGAGGAGGAGGAGGAGGAGGAGGAGGAGGAGGAGTGGGAGAAGGAGGAGGATGAGGAGGAGGAGGAGGAAGAGGGGGAGGAGGAGGAGGAAGAGGAGAAGGAGGAGGAGGAGGAGGAGGAGGAGGTCGACTCTGTCAGCTGCAGCATCGGGATCAAGGCGCACGAGAAGGGAGGGCAGGTGCAGCAGGCTTCTGTCACTGCCGGAGAAGCTCCAAGAGGTAAAGCGTTAGCCGGACGTCATTCAGGAACGAAAAAACACACAGACACAATTAATCGTCGATTCCGCAGAAAATAATGGAAAATATGGGAAGTGTGTGGGGAGACAAAAATCCAGACACTATAGGAACAGATGGGGGATCCTGTTATTTGTGTGTGTATTTATTTGTGTGTCCTGGGGCCCTTTCAGTCATTTCAGGCATGGCGGGAGCGTGAAGCGTGAGCGGGAGTGTGCTTCGTGGCGGGGTCGTGCAAGATCGTTTCGCAATGGGGCGCGTGTGGTTTTGTGGCCGCAGGACGCGCGGGCTTGCGGAGCGGGTCGGCGCGGAACAGGCAGGGCAGGTCCGAGGCAGTAGCTCGGGGTGCCCGTGTTCCGCCGTAGCCACAGCGAGACCGACGGCGCCCTATTGCGCGATGCGACTCACCCCCCCATCTATGGCCCCCCCATCTACTCGCGGCCAATCGTCGCAATCAGGGCAGACCGACACGGGATTGAATTGGAGGTTGTGTTTGGGTTCGGGGGGCGCTCATGTTAGGTAGCAAGGCATTTCACATGTTGTTGTTACTGTTCCTCCTCGACCTCGTCATCCTCCTTTTGCCTTCTCAGTCTCATGCCTCCGCACCCTCTCGCCAAATCGCACGAAAGCGGAATCGACAGCGGGACCGGGCGGGAGTTGGCGAACTGTTGTCCTCGCCAGCAGCACCGCACGAAGTGGCAGTGCTGTGTCGGCGCGGCGCATGCTTCGTCCTCGCCGTGCTCATCGGAAGTTTGGTCACCCGAAGGTGCTCCCTCCGCAGTATTGCATAAGGATGTTCCAGTTCCGCTTCTGCCCCTGCTCGGCCCGCGTCGCGTTGAATTCGCTCAGCCGTCGGAGGCGGGACCCCGCGCGAGCGCATTCCGCTCATTTGGTGCGATCATTTGTGCCACACTTGATTTTTTGTATGTGCTGAGACGGGAGATGTGGGGGGGGGGGGGTGGGGCCCCATTCGTTCGACCTGGGAATCTTGACCCTGACTCCTAACCCTCATCCTCCAGTCTCCTGCTCCTGTCTCCTCCTTTCGTCCTCCTCCTCTCCTCCGCCTCCGCCTCCTCCTCCTCCTTCCTCACCTGCACTCCCCTGCCCCTTTTTCTCACCCTCATTTCTTTCTTCCCCATCTTACTTCTGTCCCCCCATTCTTTCCAGCTCGGCCTCCCGAGCTTCCCCTTTCGCCTCCACCCCCACTTATGCCGCCGCCTGCTCCTGCACCTCCTCCTCCTCCTCCTTCTCCTCTTCCTCCCCGTCCTCTCCACCTCCTCCTCCCTCTCTTCCTTCCTCCCCTGCGTGCGCATCGTTTTTCCACTCCGACACACCTATCACACGTTTCGTGGCCCCATACGGAGTTCCATCAAAGGCCCGAGTGTCGGTGTCCACATCCGTCCCCCCCCATTTCGGCACAGCTCCACCCAAGGCCCCAGTGGCGGTGTCCACATGCGTCCCCGTCACCCGTGCTGGCATATCCCTCACACGCTTCGTGGCCCCATAGGGAGTCCCACCCAAGGCCCCAGTAGTGGTAACCACATGCGCCCCCGCCACCCATTCGGCACATCTATCACGCGTTCCGTGGCCCCACAGGGAGCTAGGCCCCAGCGTCGGTGTCCACATGCGGCCCCGCACCCATTTCGGCACAGCTCCACCCACGTCCCCAATCTCGGTGTCCACGTGCGTCCCCGCAGCCTATGTCAGCATACCCCTC